TTTTTTTTTTTGATGTAAAACATTGTCTCATCAGGCACTGCACCTGTAGCTCAGCGGCTAGGGTGCCAGCTACATACACTGGAGGTGGCAAGTTCTAACTCAGCCTGGGCCTATCAAATAACAATGACAACTACAACCAAAAAATAGCCAGACATTGTGGCAGGCACCTGTAGTCCCAGTTACTCAGGAGGCTGAGACAATAGACTTGCTTAAGCCCAAGAGTTAGAGGTTGCTGTAAGCTGTGATGCCATAGCACTCTACCAAGGGCAACATAGTGACACTCTGTCTCAGAAAAAAACGAAAAAAAAACATTGTTTCATCTTAATTGTGGATTACAATTTGAAAAAAATTTAGACATAAAGTCTGAATTTATAAATTATATAAGCTATTTTGGCAAGGTAAGATAATAATGCTTTAAATTTAATAACTAGGTGGGTTGGAGCTTAGCATTTACATTTCAACTCTAGCTCTATGATGTTTTAATATTATATGGAGTCCTAGATGGTTCTTTTAATAATCTTTTTTTTTTTTTTTTTGGAGACAATCTTATTACTTTTTCGCCCTTGGTAGAGTGCTGTGGCATCATAGCTCACAGCAACCTCCAATTCTTGGGCTCAAGCTGTCTTTTTGCCTTAGCCTCCCAAGCAGCTGGGACTACAGGCACCTGCCACAATGCTTGACTATTTTTTTGCTTTGTTTGTTTTAGCATGCCCAGGCTGGATTTGAACCCACCAGCCCTGGTACATGTGACTGGTGTCCTAAACACTAAGCTAGGGGCACCCAGCCATGTTCTTTTAATAATCTTGAGCTTTGAGTAGACAAATTTTGGCCAAAATGTCAGAGTGTGTTCAACTACAATAGTGAAATAGAGTCCTTGCTAAGGAACAAAGGATCCTCTGTACCATATTCAGATGCACAACATTCCAGAATAAAAATAAGGCAAAGATGTCATATTTTTAAGTTTTTCTACTGTTACAGAAGTTCAAACAGTTGAATGATATAAATTGTTTCATAGTATGAGTTCAGTATATTAATAGTAACTTGGGTTTAACTAGTTCTCTTGGTTGAAGTAGTGACATTGACAATTTTCACTTTCTTGAACACATGTGCCTGATAATCAGAAAGTTCAGGATAAGTTTTGCACACAGCCTTGCCACCTGCTTGCCTGTGTGAAAGAGCCCTTTGCTTTATTCAGTATTTAAAAGTAGCCTGCTCTGTAGTTTTCCAAACTCTCTTAGGATACTTCTTTGCATTTTAAAGACCTCTTGTGTGTGGAAAACAGAGCAGCAATCTAACTTATTAGGTTGAATTGTTCCCCCATAAATACAGATAAGGTTGCTAAATCTTGGACTAACCAGAAATATTTTTGTGGAAAACACTGATCCTTCCCTTTTCCCATAATGTTTACTCTACCTCACCCTGTAATAGATAGAAAGGGCAAGCGCTCATTATATAATAGCCAAGGGTAAATGGCATGTTAGGTCCTTGCTCAACCAGAAAGGTTCACTTTGTGTGATAAAAGATCCTACTATTAGGAAGAGGTTATGATGTCCTAAAATGTTTGAAAATAAATGTCTGTAGGAAATTCAAGTAAGTCTTCACCCTTGAAGCCTATAGTCTTGTGGCTAAGACAGAAAGAAATTGAAACCTAAATAGTTGTATAAAACAGGATATCTTGAGTCCCAAGTGATTCATAATACGAGTCTTGAAGAAGCCACTGGCCACGGCAGGGTTGAAAAGGAGCACCGAAGGTGAGTATTTTGAGCAGCAGGAGGAGCACTGTGAAAGGTCGCTCCCCATCATTTGGTATCTCTGACAAATCCTTTATTTTGGTAAGCACAGCAGTTACCTTACAGTTTTCATCTTCTCTTTGCAGCCTGAAGAGTTGAGAGAAATCATTGAGAAGACTAGAGAGATGGAGCAGAACAATGGCCACTACTTTGACACAGCGATTGTGAATTCAGATCTTGATAAAGCCTATCAGGAATTGCTTAGGTTAATTAACAAACTTGATACTGAACCTCAGTGGGTACCGTCCACTTGGCTGAGGTGAAGGAAACATCATTTATAGCATGTTGGACTTGGTCTGGCAAACTGCCAAGGAAGACGCCCCCCCCACCCCCACCCCCCCACTTCAGCAAGATTTTGAGGATAAAGTGGACGGCAGCAGTTATCAGCTGGTATAAGCTGCAGACCTTTTCCTAGCCTTCTTGAAAAGAAGGTCCCCTTAGGCAGCTTGTGTCTAGCATTCTATAGTCTCTGTACATGGCTGTAGGGGTTCTTGTCTCCAATAGAGCAGTCCTGTTATCCTGTTAAAAACTTTTTTTTTCCACTTCACTAAATCTTTTCATATTTCCATGAAAAACTTAGTATGTACACAAGAGTCCATGTCTCACAGTGATAAATATTGATGTTATTTAACACTTAACTTAAATGACTTCATGGAGTATTTGAGGGGCAGGGGAGACTGTCCTTGTATGCACTGGGCAAAACAGTATTTGCTTAGGAAACTAGTGTAGTCACCAGACACACTTGACTGAAAAAGGAAAAATAAACTGGTGCCACTTGGTTTGGAGCTACTCTATTAGGTTTGAATTCATTTGTATATCTTTCACTTCTAAAGAAAAAAAAACCACTCCCCCAGAGGCCCCAGTCTTTTATGCTCACTTTGTATATCAGGTTGCACACCTGGCTGACTAATCTAGTTAAAGGAAAATATGCTGATCCTTTGAAAGATGATTTTGAGGTATTTTTCTTAAACTGTACAACCAAATTGCTAGCCGGCTTCCTTTCTCTGATCTGCATAGCACAATAGAATGTATAAGTTACATTTTTTTATGAATGGAAGATGTTCATATAAACTGTGTTGACTGTTGAAGTTTCTTCCTCATGGTGCAAAGTTTTTTATATACATGAGAGGATTTAGCACATTTGACAGTTTTTACATTGTTAGGTATGAAGACAATTCTATGGCTGTGCTATACACATATATATGTAGGTAAAAAACTGGAATTCTCTTGATGAATATAGCTGCTGTACTATATACTAATGTTTAATCTACAAATGGTCATTGATAATACTTGTTCTTCATTGGAATAAAAGTATATCCTAGGGAAATACTATGACAATTGACTTTCAGATCAGAAGGAAAAGGAAGAACTGAAAGTTATTTGAACATTTTAGGAAAAAAAAAACCAACTTGCAAAGGTGTTATGCATACAGAAATAGGTTTTTATCCTACCAGGGTCTGCCACCTATGACCAGAATGCAACAGCTTGCCAAATCATAAAGGAAATGTTTAAGCTCATGGGATTTTTGTAGTCTCTATAGCTGTTGCTTTAAAATTCAGTGTCTATAATTGGCATGAAAAGTTATTTTGTAGTCTTTTCAAGCCTTTAAGAATAGTGTGATGTGTGACAAGCAGCCTCAAATGTGAATGCCTTGATTTTTCATGGTGACTTTAGCTACAGCATTTCCTATTCCCAAAGCAAAACACTGGAATAATACTGACTTGTCATTTAATTTAACATAAGCAACTGTTTTTTAATCAATAGTCTGTGTCAGTGTCATGTATATATTTGATTTTTTTCTCTCCTACACTGTGTTATTTGAACAAATGCAGACAATATCTATATTGCCTTTCTCTGTTTAAATTTGCATGGCCTATAAAGTTGGCTGAAGAGTCTCTTTATGTGGAAATATTTTCAAGATAATGTTCCTTAGGAGGAAAGTTAACATTCGAATTGAGGGAAGAAATGCCATGCATACCGTCTTTTCAGGTCAGAACCCTCCAGCTTATTGCAGAAAAAAATGCAGAAAGTTCACACTCATTTTCAGCATTGAAAACCAGGAATATATTTAGCATGTAATCTTTTCGGTTTCCCAGTTTACTATCTCCTCAGGAATGAAAGGTAGTCTATAGAGTTTTCTGATCTGTTACTGTAACTGACAGCTACTTTCAACCCACCATCTAAAATAATGACAGTTCATGTTAAAAGTGAGGCTTTAGGAAATGTCAGTGAGGGGCTATTGTGCCACTGCAGGTATCAGGCCTATATAGGGGCATGTTTGGAGACACATGGCTTTAACAAGTAGATCCTGTACTAAGGCACCTGTCATGCCATACTTTCAGGAAGTAGGCACTTTTTAGGATTAATGAAGTCCCACAGTTCTGTCCTTCATCAGCAATGTTGGAGATATAAAAATGTTTATGTCCTGGCTCAGTGCCTGTAGGTCAGTGGCTAGGGCACCAGCCACAGACATGGGAGCTGGCAGGTTCAAACCCAGAGCAGGCCTGCCAAACAACAATGACAACTACAACCAAAAAATAGCTGGGCGTGATGGCAGTATCTGTAGTCCCAGCTACTTGGGAGGCTGAGGCAGAAGAACCGCTTAAGCCCAAGAGTTGAAGATTGCTGTGAGCTGTGCCTCAAAGGCACTCTATGAGGCAACATAGTGAGACTGTTTCAAAAAAAAAAGGTTATGTCCCATACTTTTCTAATCCTAGTGATAAACATGTGCTGATATTCAACTTAGTCCCTATACAAAGTGAAAACTGAGTTGTTGCTGACTTCCTCAATTGCATATAGATAAAAGCCTTGCTCTGTTGTACAGCCACTCTGGCCAGTTCCACTTCCTGTCCTCTGTGGTTCTCAATGGGGACCTCAGTGTGGAGGAGCTCTTAACCACTTATACAAATAATACCAATAGCTAATGAAATACACTTGGAAAATCCAAATTAAAAAGTGTCTTTATTTCTTACATGTTTGTAAGTCAGAACAAATGAAAGGAAAATAGTATTTAGACTAATCCAGATTTGCTTTCTATGAAAATCTAATGTCTGGATTATTTTCCTTTTCTCATGCCTAAGGAATAAGTATTGATAAGGAATGATTTGAATGTAATTTTGTGAATGTGTGTGAAAAATATAAACCAGGGATTTAGCCTTAGTAAAGGTAACCTTCTGACATCTATTGTTAACTCCCTTTGTACTCATATCCTGTATCTGCACTCTGTTATTTTGAGATGTCATACTGCACACTGTTATTATAAAAATAAAAAGTAGAATTATATTTCAAATAAAGCCACTGAGTACTTCCTCTTGCTGTGTTATATCCTCTGCCATTCAAGGTTTCCACACATGAAAAGGCCACCCTCCTCTAAGTTTTTCCCAGAAGCAGACCATTGGAACCTCTGGGTAAAACACAAAATACTTTTCAATTTGTTCTTTATGGTAGGGGAGTGCCCTGGCACGGATGTAGGCAGGTCCTGTTTCCTTAATTAAAGATGGACAACTTAAGGCTGTGAACTTGGAAGTTTTAAGGAGGTATGTAGTACTCAGGCAAATTTACCTTGTATGTAGCCAGGGATTTGAGGACACAGGATAGTAGGTGAGTGGTCGGCAAATAACATATTTCATTTCTCCACTTGCCTATGATACTTGATCTACTTAAGGATGCAAATCATGTACCAACAAAAAGCTTAATGCATTTACACACCTGTTACTCCAATCCAGCTTTCTATTCCTGTTAATTGTTCTCTTCCCTTCCCCTGTGGATCAGAGTGTGCGGACTCCACACAGCAAATTACCTGTCCATTATTTTCTCTTGATTTCTTTCTTTCTTTCTTTTTTGGAGACAGAGCCTCAAAGCTGTCGCCCTGGGTAGAGTGCCATGGCATCACCACTCACAGCAACCTCCCAACTCTTGGGCTTGAGCGATTCTCTTGCCTCAGCCTCCCAAGTAGCTGGGACCACAGACGTCTGCCACAGCGCCCAGCAATTTTTTGGTTGCACCTGTCATTGTTTTGCAGGCCCGAGCTGGATTCCCACCTGCCAGCTCAGGTGTCTGTGGCTGGCGCCTTAGCCACTTGAGCCATAGGTGCCGAGCCTTCTCTTGATTGCTTAACAAATGCTAAACTTTAAATCATCTGCACTTTTGTAAGTAATTTAACCAAGGCAAATAAATTCTAGAGCTTTAAGAAGAAATGTAGGATCCTCTGGCTCACTGCTTTATGGTAAACATTATATTTAACTAAATGAAAAACCACTAATCTAGCTCCCTACTTCTACCTTCAAACTAACTTTTGCCTCTTAGGCAGTGCATAGTACTTAAAAACCAAGGCTCTGATGTCAAGATACACATGACTTGCATTCCTGCTGTGCTGTTTGACCTATCAAGCCTGAATTTCCTCATCTGCAAAATGAAGTTGATACAATTTACACTTCACCAGGTAGGAAGATTAGATGGAGAACAGAATTAGAAAGTGTTAACCTGTTTTTTAAAATACTTATGAACTCAGCTGGTTTTCTAATCATTACTGAATTTATACTGCAACTGAGATTTTGTGAGCAGCAATAGGATTTCCTAAAATCAGCTCCTCTAGGATATAGGCAGGCCCTGCATCTTACACCTTACAGTGTTTTGCATATTGGGCAGGCAGAAAGCATATAAAGGTATAAAAATTCTGAAAGTAGACAGCTTGGATTTTAATCCTGGATTCACTACTTTCTAGCTTTCTAACCTAAGACCAATTACTCAAGCCTGTGCTTCAAATTTTTCTTCTGAAATGAGTTAAAATATGTACTTCTTAATGATTACTGTGGTGAAATAGAAATAAATTACTTAAAACAGTGCTTGGCATATAATAACCAAGATTATTTTCTAGTAGGTACTAAATGTTTACAAATATTTAGTACTTTAAAAAACCTATACTATGCTATCACTTGATTAAATTACAGTACTAATAAGGCTAGTGTCGCAACTTCATAACTCAAAACTGTTTCATGGCCAGTTGTGTCAAAAATGCCTAGAACTGGTTGCAAGAAAGGCTGAATAACCATGAATGGCTCATGCCAGATCAAACAGTACTAAAAATCTCTGGCACCTTATGTGGCCCTTCAAATGCCTCCTCTAAAAGCAGGCTGTTACTGATTATAAAACAGTAAAAAGTTACCTTCTTTCTCCAAAATAGGAATTGATATTTTTCTTAGATCAGGAGAGCGGGAACTATCATGAAGTCCTCTTAACTCAAGTACCCCCAAATGGTAAACATTTATTAGTACCCCAAAATGCAACTAATTGTCTCAAAGTAAGCCTGACATAAAACAGATATATGAAATGGGGGAAAAAAGCTACTCACCTGCACGTCTGCAGAGAAAGCTCTAAGAATGACAATCCTGTGTGCTGAGCTAAGCCTAAGAACATGACTTATTCTTAGCAGTAAATAAAAGGACTGGCTTATTTTTAAATCATTTTACTCTTGTTTATACCTTAATCACATTTAAACTGGCAAAACTACTGTCAGACAAGATACGCCTGTCATGCAGAGAAAAATAAGTTGATTTCACAAAGCTTGAGAAGAAAAGTACCACAGTAACACAAGGATGACTGCAGGAATCTCTTGACAACAGCGCCAAGGTTTGCACGTGGGAAGGAAGGAAGGCTGCTCCACAGTAGGTGGCCTGAGAACACTAGTGTTTCCTTAGGGGTATCTCCTAATGTGCTTGGTAAGCAGATCATGTAACACAGATGTAAATGTACGTGGAGTTGGGTGACACTTCTGCAGAGTAAATTCCTGAGCAGGTTTTACAAAGCTCTTTCACCTATGACAAAGGGTTGTCGAATCACGATTCTGCAATGTAATCCCATAAATAGACACCCAGGTAAATTTTACAATCAGTGAAATTCTTAGGCCAAAAAATAAACAGCCACACAAATCAAACTTACACACTGTGAACTAAAATGAAGCCAGTGTTAGCGTTTCCAAAAGAATCAGAGTAAGAAAGATTATTCAAACAGAAGATCCTCATCCTTCTCTTCAGCCAGAAGATTAGCAGGCTCCATCACCTCTCCAGCTGCTCTCCGTTGTTCCAACTCCTTCTCAGACTTTTCCTTGAGAATCTTTTTCTTTTCCTGTATTTTCTTTAACCTATAAAATAAAGAGGAGAATTTTCTGCATACTGCTTTCAGTACTAAGTAGGTTCGATTTCATCTAGTTTTGCAAGGACAACAAACATCTACCACTAGAACAAAATTTGATACTTGCATTAAATTAAATAAATTTTGAAATCCATTCCCTCATGGGACAGATTTTGAGCATTTATTAAAGTTTGGATCACCATAACTCTGAACCTCACTGAAGGATAAAAACTAAATAATGTTTAATAATTAAGAATATGAATCATAATCAGATGTTAACTCAAGGTCTAAGGTCTAAACGATCCTGCCCTCACCTACCTCCCACTTCTCTGAACTAGGTATATAGATCCCTGTACACCAGCACTTTAGTACTTACTTATCCCAACTGGTTCTAAATGTTCATAAACAATTAATGAACATACATCACTTCTCTCTTAAGTACTGTGCTAATTCTCTGATAGGATTTATATTGCTTGGTAATGTCCCCAAATACTTTAAATCTTCTTCTGAACAAATTCAACATGCAAAACATATTTGATTAACGGATTAATTCCAGTTTCTTCCCTTATTTTTTAAGTAGGAGACACTCTATGAAAATCTAGCCTTAACAGTTTCTTTGAAAGGCCTAAGTTTTTGGAAATGCCATGTTTCAGAAACATGGAAAACTTAACACAGATTTGTCTCCACTGCCTTTGGCAATAGACAATATTACTACTTGTTTAACAGAATAAACTAAGCTATGCTAATTCTAAAGAACAGAACTAGTTATCCAGCAAACCAAGCCTTTGGAACATAAAAAACAAAAAATGATCAATAACTGCCAAATGCAACAAACCTATAGAACTCTTCTCGCTCTCTCTCATCCAGCTCTGTGATGATATAAGCAAGGGTACGTTCAATCCGGGGAATGATGACTAGAGTTAAAAAAAATATATATGTGAGAACTTCAAACCCCCTTTTTGCAAAGTGCTCATTGTTACTTATTTTTTTCTTATTGTAAGATTAATGTACAGGCTGGGTATGGTGGCTCACGCCTGTAATCCCAGCACTCTAGGAGGCTGAGGCAGGTGGACTGCCTGAGCTCAAGAGTTAGAGAGCAGCCTGAGCAAAAGTAAGACACCAGCTCTTAAAAATAGCCAGGTGTTTTGGTGGGCTCCTGTAATCCCAGCTATTTGGGAGGCTGACACAAGAGAATCACTTTAGCCCAAGAGTTTGAGGTTGCTGTGAACTACTATACCATAGCACTCTACTCAGGGTGACCGAGTGATATACTGTCTCAAAAAAAAAAGTACATTTAATATAGAGAACTAGAAAATAAAACACAAAGAAAAATCTTAATGGATTACAAAC